GGAGAGAAAATGATGATTGTAAAACAAAGGGAAGAGTATAATGTTCTCTTGTAAACGAATCTACTATTATGTGTATAAAAATATGAAATTGATATGATCCATAAAGAGAACAATGGGAAAAGCAATAGTAATATTGTAGACGATGAAAAATCTGTGCGTAAGGGAATTAACGCGCGACGGCGCGCAAGGGTTACGTCTAGCTATTAGCGTAATGCTTGTACGTATGTACACAAGTATACGTATTTGTACTGGCAGACAGGAATGGCGGTACAAGAAAGTGAGTCACCATAAACGAGGCACGAATTAAGGCCAGTGTACGCGTGAGCGCGCGTGTCAGGACAATCGAACAATTGCAACCGCGATATGTAATGGCGAGTCTCACTGGTCAACGACCTTAAAACACTGTTCTAACTTTGTCTAATTGTTTATCCTAATAACGAATCGAACGAAGGTTCCGGGGGAAAGTATTAGGAATATCAAGAATACACTTCCTTTCCTTTGCTTCTCGATCTTTGATGCAGATCACGACGATACAGATCTGAACGTTTCAATCTTCCGATAACGTCCCTATCTATTTTAAGATTGTATGAGCCGTAAAATCTGTGCCAAAAGTTTAAGACATGTCATAAAAAGCTGTGTCCAATATTTTAGAAAAAATGATAATTATAGAGGAGTCAGGTTTATATAATTGTTCCACCTGTTCTTCTCGGTCATAAGGAATTTTTCACACATAATTTTTACATAGTTTTGGCATTTGTTGGACTGTACGTGACTTGCGACTGTCTACATGCCCTATAATTCTTACATTCGCATACTTTTTATTCTATATCTTAAATAACATCCTCAAAATTGACATTATTTCAACTTTAAAATATTCTTAAATCATGTATTAAGAATTATACAAAATTACAAAATTCTCTCATTGTTCCATTCATATTTTTTGATAAAATCAAAATTCTGTCATTCAATATAAGAATTGATGTAATAACTTTTTTAATAGACTCGCAAAATTTCTACAATTTTGTTCAGTATTTTATTAATGTAATATCAACTGTTAAAATTTCAATGGTTTGTCAATGTTTTTATGTAAAGGTCCGTGCAACCTTAACATACCAGCTGTTTTATAAATTGTAAGACGGCTCTCGATACCAGTTCTACAGAAAAGAATTTCCGGAAAAAAAAAAACTGACGTTTGATAAGTTGCATGGAATGTTGGTTCACTGTGCTAAATGGTTTAGTTTAGAGTTAAGAGAAATAAAAATTTGCACGAAGTAATAAAGAATCGACGTTTTTGCATGGACAATCGCTGTGTCAAATAGTTGAGGATCAGTGGAACCGAAATCTATACGACACTTGCGAAGTTTCATAGGATTTTTGTTTACGGTCCTCGCGATGATTCGAATGTCTGAAACGCTGTGTATCGAGATCCACTTTATAGTTATGATACGCGGTGTAGGTGTCGGGGAATCCTCGGCACTTGAGAGGCTCGAGGAGCCAGCAGAGGAGGAAGGAATTTCCTTGAAAGGGTGAATGTTTATATGAGAGAGAGATGAAATGAACGAACGCGGAAAGAAGGGGGAACCGTTCCGTTCGGGCTTCGACGGATCGAAATTATCGAGCAACCTCCGGCCGAGCCAGGTTTACTCGAGGGAAATCAGCCCGATAATCCGATTAATAAATTGGCTGGCATCCACGCACGGTACTAACACTGTACAGTGAAATTCAAAACCGATACACACGTTGCAATTTAAAGATTCATACGCCTGGTTTGCAGATTTGTTCCTAACAAAAGTGGCTCGTTCTCAGACGGATCCGAGCAAAAGCTCCTTAGTTGTTTTTAACGTGCAAAATATATCTGAAGAAGTCTGTGCAGATTTTCATGAGATTGCAGATTTTGTACAGGGAATTAAAAAAAGAAGTTTAACATTTGTATGAGACACACTGAACCGAGTATGAAAGAACTTTTATGAAAAAAGGTTCGACAAGTTGATATTGGAAGATACAAGTGCATCGTTATAATGGGATTATTTTATAGGAAATGTTTAACGAACGTGTTCAGTTTTGACTCTCACTGTATCGCACTCTTCTCCTGTTGTGCTCCGTTTAATTGACTATCTTTTTACCGTACGATCCATTTATTACTCTCACTATCACCCGTTTCGTTCATTCAAGTGGCTTTAATCTCGTGGGCGCAGAATTTACGAGCCTCGTTTTATTCTTCCTCTCCTCCCCCTTTTTTTTTTATCGCGTCGCGATATCGCGTTGGGGTTTAACGAGTTTGAAACGTCGAAAATGAAAATGCTTCAATGATAATTTTCCTTAACGATTTCATAATGCTCGAATATCTACTTTCGGTAAAGGATATTGATTGCGTATAATCGATTTGAAGGAGTGAAAAAATTTCGATATAAACTCACGTGCAATTAAATGTTGTTTCGTTTTGAATAATCAATTTCTAATGCCTGTCATGTTAGAAAGCGATGCAAACATTGAACATTCCCAATTAATATCGAATTTAATCGAATTCTATTGACACGGAAGTATGAACGATCAATTTAAAAATCAACTGTTGTTCGATTGATAACAAGAGTAGAATGCGACTTCTTAGAAACAGTGAAGTTAATACGCTCTGGGTCCAGATCGCCTGCACAGAAATAGCTTAGCCAGGCGATTCGCTCTCAGTAAAGGAGACGAGATATAAATCTGGTAACGAATTTGCATACTGAAATCACCCACTTGTTTTTTCTCGCAGCAGGTAGCCACGTTTGATGCTTTTACTCTCTTTCGCTACCTATGCCTCCTCCCGTACATATGCGCGTGTGTGCGTGTGTGTGCGCGCTGTACAGTCTATATAAGATCACACAGCACACCGTACGGTTTCGAGAAGCTGCCCTGTACGTATCAACAACATCCGGTGTGTACCCAGATTTCGTTTTCTCCGTACATGAAAGGCGAATAACGAAAATATACGAACCAAGTTTCAATTTATACTCCTGCCATATAATATACTCGTTAGATCGCACACATTTTCCCCACGATAATACACTTTAATAATGTCTATTATAATTTTGATGTTTTGCATATCTAATTTGTATCTGTCGTCGGAGACGTACGGTGGTAGGAGAATAATTGGTAGAAACGTTGGTAGATGAATCCGTGAGACGTTAAAAAGAGCATAGGCGTTGTCGATAGCGCGGGGCCGTTCTAGCGTCGAATTACAGTGAAAATGGAGACAGTATCGCGAGAGTCTAGAGATAACGTTTGAACGTCACGCGAAAACGAGCCTTAATATGCCCGTTGGAAAGGAAAATCGAGGGACGGAGAGTGGAAAACGGTGCACGACGCTTGACACGTTCCTTTTGCCCACTTAACTTATGCAACCTCGTGTTTCTCATGCGAGAGAGACACTGGAAAAGCGGTTAATTACGATTGCACTTGGAGCCCGAGTGCATCGCTCCGCGAAAAATCCGCGAGAGGATAGGAAGAGTAGATGGGAGGAGGTGCCCCTCGAAAACCTCTGTCGGTCGTTGCTCGTCTGCGTTTTCCCATTTTCCACCTTTCTTCCCTCGTTTCTCTGTTCTTTACCTCTTTTTTCCACTTAACTGCGATGGGTACATCCCCGTTCACAAGTTTTACCGTAGTTTACAAAAAATCAACACCTCCAACGGGTCGCTTTACGTGGAATCTCGTGAACGACCACGAGTACTTGCACCTATCCGCGTTCCAATTAATTAAAATCTGACACACGATCAGATTAATTTGAATATAAATTACGTACACATGCGTTACAGTTACAATCGGACAGAATGAGAATTGAGGAAAGTGGCCGAAGCTTGCGAGACTTGTGAATCGAAGTGTATATATGCACGTTACATCTCCTCCGCAAAAAACGCATCGTCGCAATTTTTTTCAAGCGGTGCCACTACTCGACGAGTGCGTTCGCTCGCCCGTGAACGGTTTCAACTGTCGGTTTTCCTCTTTTTCTTTAACCCGAGTATTTAGCTTCTTTTACACACGTCAGACGATGAGTCGATGAAAAATCTCGGGGAAAAATTCAAATTAATTCGAACTATGCAATCCGTATATAGCGAAACGAGTCGATGAACAGTGTGTCGTCGACAGTGTCTATCTATTTTTATTTGCGCGTATGAAAATTTCAGCAGAATCGAATATCACAAGTGAATGTATGAAATGAATCAACGGAACCGCAAATTGATTGCAAGTGTAAATATGTATACATGCATGCATGTGCGGAACGAGCGGATGAAAAGATGCGGTGAAAAAACGCAAATAAAATAAATTGCATGTATCTATGTATTTGGATCTGTATACATCCGGATGAAATTGTCTAAGGCGGCTTAAGCCGATTACCGAGGGAGCGAGGGTCAAGTTGGCCTTGCCAGGTTTCTTTTCCCCTTCGTTCGCCTCTCGTTCTCTTTTTTCTTTTTTTCTTTTTTTCTTTTTCTTAAGACGCTAAAAAAGTTATGGTTCATTAACGGGTCGAGTGCGTCAACAAACACTCGCGAGGGATCGGACCGAAGCAGTGCCTCGAAGTTATCGAGTACCTTCAGTTATCGGGAAGGCGAAAGAACATAAGCAATAAAAGAAGTCTGGAGAGCCAGCGTACAAACGACAGACCCCTGCCTCTCTCCGATTATTGTTTTCTGTTTAATACTTGTCGATCAACTTGACGGATGTGTTTCGTTTCGTGCCTCGACGGGCGGAACGGCGATCAAAAATTTATTTTCTAAAGGTTTCATAAAAAGGAAACTCAAGCCAGGATCGTGAGTTCTCTTTATAATTTTGCCCCGGGGCAAATGAATCACAGAAAGAAACGAACGAATCGTATACAGAACTCAGACGATAATGTGTAGTACTGTTGAGACCTGTTTTCATTTTCGAAAAGTTTGTATCGTGTTACTGCGTCAACCTTCTGCTCGATTTGGTGTACGTTTACGTTTACGCGTATGATAAAATGGATCTTTGTTACCTGGTTGCAGCGTGCGACTGCCATCCGATCGGAGCCTCTGGGAAGACTTGCAACCAGAGTACGGGCCAGTGCCCGTGTAAGGACGGCGTGACCGGTACCACCTGCAACAGATGCGCCAGGGGATACCAACAAAGTAGATCTCACATCGCCCCCTGCATCAGTAAGTACCCAGATACACGTACGTATGCATACCAGTGAGTACTAAAAGCTTCAGCGATTTTGAGGGACACCAAGTTCACTTCCAATCAATAGATCCCGAGTTTCTCATGCAAAATAGAACATTTACACAAATCAGAATTTCAAATGGAAATATTGAAATTTTATAATAATATCCTATTCGTTCATAAAATGATAATAAAATAAATAATTGTGTAAACGATTATTGTTAAAAATGAATCGAAATTGGAATGATAACGTGATTCGATAATCAAAGTCGCTGCAGTTTTGATTTATTTATTTATTTATTTCTCAAGTATCTCCCTCTCGAATACAGAAATAGACTTATAATCGTTTAAGCGGAAAGTGCCTGAGAAGGACGGCTGTTTCCCATATATCCCTAAAAATTCTCCTTTTCCGGATAGATTTTCGTGTTGTTTCCGTTGAAATACTTGTTCTCTAAGTGTTTTCGAGTGCAACTGATGCATGTTTCATACACTTAAGCGATACAAGTAGACTTATAAGCGTTTAAGCGGAACGTTTTCAATTCTCACTGTCAAGGCGAAAAAGTATAAAACAATTCCAAGCACGTTAAATGACAATGTCAGCTCGTCAGCAATTCTAATTATGATTGTACCATAATTGTGACAACGAATCGTCTGCAATTATGATAATTTGTGTGTGTTTCATTCTTGTTAGAGATACCGAGGGTCGTGCAGACCCAGGGCACGGCCGGGGAGGAGAGCGGGGAGTACGAGGACGACGACGAGGATCGCGGTTACGATGGACGAGCCGGTAAGTACGTACGAGTACTTATAGAAACTACGTGTAATCAAACACTTTCCTTCTCGACAAACTAATCCAATGTTCTTACGCATTATCCAGTGTTCGTATAGAAACATTTAATAAACAGAAATATTTCCTTAGTGAAATGTTTCGTGAAACTGACGTTCGGCTGACGGGTGAAATTGCAACAATGATTGCTCGCGGGAGAAAGATGAATGTCTGTCGAGGAGATAATTGTTGGTTGATAAATTCAGCGGTAAACGGTGTTTCGGGTGTAGGAATCCGACTTGTTCGTAATTTCCGGCGTAGTAATATTTCCGTGAACGCACATGGGTAAACGGCACGTGGCGTAACCGGAATGTAAGCACAATATTAATTTGGCAGAGACGAGGGGTGCGAGCAAGGAAGGGTGGCAGAGGGGCTGGAATGTCTAGCCGGTTGGTCGTAGCCTCTCAGCCACCCTAATGGCTTAATTAAAACTACCCCTCGCCCATTTGCTCCAAGTTTCCAACGACGGCCTACTTGCGTACGACCCGTGGACGTATACGAGCGCCGAGCCACCGCGCGACACTTCATCGTTTATTTCTCTTTTTTATTTAAACCACTCCAACGTTTGAACGTTTTAAATCGCGGGGCCTTATCAAATTCCGGCTTCAATTTCATTATTGTCGATACACCGCGCTGCCTCAAACCGAGTCGACTTTCTCTGAACTTGTTCTCCAAACGTGTTTCATCTCGCGAGAAGCGGGCCGGGTCCCGAGACTCGAGGATCGCGATTCCATCTTCGTTTCTTGTTTTTTTTGTTTTTTTTTTATACAATTATAATTTAAATCGGGACAGAATTGTATTCTGTTTATTTTATAAGAGTTGTATGGAGAATGTGGGTTGGGGTCAGGCCACGTTGGACACTGTTGCGCGGTCCTAAGCCGACGTTGGCCACTGTGAAAAGTGGAAACAGAAAGAGAACGAATCGAGAAGAGGGTACATTGTATGTTTGGTGAAACGGAAGGACCCTTTAGCAGTTTACCGGAGCGCGTACGCGCACACGCACACGCGAATAAGTGGACGCGAGCCTAAGCCAAGGGAGGAGAGCGCGCGCGGATTAACTCGCTCTGTAAACCAGACGACACGTTTGTTTCTGCCTTTACTTTAGTTTCATGCCGATGCCTCTTTGACGCCGTTGCGTTCATCGCTTTTTTAATACGATCTCACCTCGGATTGTATATCGAAAAACGTCGAGAATGATTCATCCACTCGGTGATCCGTGTATATAAATACATATCGACCTACGACGCGGAACGATTTGTTTAAATTAAGAAATTCAAAGTTTCTCTTGCGTGGCTCGTAGAAATTTTATACATTGAATTTCCCTATTTACATACACGTTGTAGGCCACTGGTATAGTTGGCAAAAGCATATACTCGTGTCTCTAGACTGGACTGTAGGTAGACCGAGAAGACGACGGTTCCTCGGTAAAGGAAATGACCTTTCGGTCCGCGTACTCGGTGCGACTGACAATCGATCTGTTTTTCGTCGACCATTAAAGCCGAACACGTGTTTCGCAAACCGAACGTTTCACCATTCTTACTTATACAATTTTCATAGGCGGTCTACTTATAGAATTATCAGTTACCATCTTTTCCGGACGGAAACGACGGAAACGACGGAAACGACGGAAACAAATCGTTTACAAAGAAATTCGTTCGATTCTTTGAGCCATTTTTATCATCGATGTACTCTTTATAAATACAAAAAAAAAATGCATTTTATTATTGTTTCTCTGTACGTCGGAACAGAATGATCGTATTCCGCCTGGAAAATTGTGTACTTAAGGTTTAAAATATTCTAACACTCTGCGCAGGGTATCCACGATAATAATTACCATCACGGGCCCTAAATCAAAGTTAATTACCAGCCGCCGCAACTAATTTAAATCGAGACTAATTGACTCACCCCCTCCACCGACGTCCCTCCAAGTAATTCTACTTCCCATTACTCTCGCGTCGCGTCTTCTAATATCAACGAAACTTTCCATAAACTCGTCTACACCTGAGAATTCCTAAATAACCCGCTCGATTACGTATCATCGAGACGCGATCGCTAATTTCAATTAGCATTTATACTCGCATCGCACGACGCTGGCTATTATAAATATTATAACACATACAATTTATATAATATCATTGTAGCGTTTCATACTTTACTTCCTCTGTTTGGATCGCACTTTTAAACCTAGTAGATATTGCTTGAAATTCGGCTTGAATCCCGTGATCTCGCAGGTAAATAAAAGGCCAGTTCATTGAACACGAATCAATTAGCCGAATTACGAAACGGCACGGATAGCAATCTCGAAACCCCAAGGCAGATACACTAACACCAAATAGTGAAGTGGTTGTCAACTCGTGTCTGAATGAAAAGAAGATAAAAAATTATTTTCTTTTTACCCAAACTATTTTATAGAAAAGAAAGTATTCATATCGATCTAAAAAATATCAATCATTGCAATATGCATATTGTGTTACTGTGATACTCTCGTTAAGCGGGCTTATTTTTGTTATCTCAATTACTATATTCATCAATCGACGTTATATGAATCATTATATGAGGCATCGTATCGATTATTGTATTAAGCATTACGTGAATAATTATTGTATGAAATATGGTGTTCACGTGTGGCCAGTATACGATGCAAATGGGTTAAGTAAAGGGGATGGAGAAAGGATTGGGAAACACTGTTATAGTAGGCTGTAGTAGCCAGAATCCACGAATCGATCGGAGGCTTGATACGGCAGGAACTAGCCGGGCCATAATCCGTTTAATTCCCGACTAACGAGACGTCCTTTGTGTCGATTAACTTGGTGCCAATCTGCTGTCAATCCGAGCTATGGCCATCGAAAACCGAGATCCGATCGATGCGACGGATCGATGGACCCCGAAATCAACTCTCTCTCCTGACCCGGCACCAACGAGTTTCCTGCAATTATCTCTGTACCAATCGCAAACGTACAAACCGCGTAACAGCGGTTTCAAATGGGCAAATCGAGTAGAGAAAATCTCCGTTCCAAGTGAAACTGAACACAAACGGTTTTATACCGAACGCATTAAACTGTTACGATTCAATTGCAATTGGCAATCGACTGAATTATCGGCATTCTCATTTGTTACATTTTTGTTACACCGGATGAGAAATCGAAGAATCGATTTAAGGAAACGCGACAGTGGCTGGCAGGAAAATCGAGGCAATTTCAACGAATAAAATATAAATCCTTTTTCTTTTCTACGTTTCATCTCGTTTTTTCAAATCCCGACAGCTCCGCGAACGGGCGCAGAATTTTCATCGTTCGTTACTTTTTTCTCTCTCGTCTAGCCGAGCTGCCCGAACGACTCCGGGCATCGATTGAATTTCGAACGAAATTCAAATCACGTTTAATTTGGTTAACCAACGAGCGAGGGGAAAAAACGTGGTGTACTAACATCGACAAGAACTTTTCAATTTAATACAATGTTTCAACTATTACCAAGATCCAGAGAGATTATACTATAAATATAGCGTAAATTATGGCATCGTATCAAACGTTGTATCAAGCGTCGTTACAATTAACGTGAGACATTGTATGAATTTTTACGATAGTACTTTGTCAATGAGAATTTAAAAGTCCATTCGTCACCCGAGCAGAGAATCGTTATGAAAACTTGCGAATGAACGCCGCACGGTGTATATTGAACTTGATCTCATAATATGTACACATAGTCACGCGACCAGATTTGATAAGCAGCAGACTGTAACGTGTGTGACGTACGGCATACCGGAGAAAATTAATTGCACGACTTCGAGACGAGATCACGGTTATGGTTATAGTTATACGCTGACCAGGCCGTTTCCGATAATGGATGGACAACGGCGTGTCGCGTTGGCTGAGAGTTAGATAATAAATGGATAAACGCACCCCCGCAGTTGTCACTAACGATAATCGATCGCGTTCAGCTTGAGATAAAACCGGACCACTTGAGATCCTGGCAATAATTCAAATTAAATCATAGAACCTGGTGACATTGAATGATCGATAAATTATTGTCTTCTGTTTTGCTCGGTTACAGATCAATGCGGAAAGTGTCGGGCAAGCACGAAAAGATTAAACCTGAACAAGTATTGCAAAAGAGATTACGGTAAGAATCCTATATTCACCTTAGAACATTTTTTATCCACAGGTTCTCGTAAATTCTTACAAAATTCCACGTTCGACACATGATTTTTCTGTATTACATTTTGGCTAATGCCGCACGTTTGACTGTAGCCATCCTGGGTAAGATAACGGACAGGCACAAAAAGAACGACGGCTCACCGACCGGGACGAGCGTGTCCGGCTCGGTATGGATACGTTTCACCTTAAACGTCGACTTCATCTACAAGAAGGCCGCGAACTCGAGGATCCGTCGCGGAGACGTGTTCCTCTACGTCCACTCGGCCGACCTGGCGTGCCGTTGCCCCAAGATCAAGCCGAACAAGTCAGTTACTTTCCTATTACTTTACGTTACATTCTCTATTAACTGCATTCTACATCATTAAACTGTATTCGTATCACAGATTATTCTGTACATTGTACACGATATCGCATATTGTGTATCTTTCGTTGTCCGTCGTGTATTAGTCTGGACATTTTCGATTCTATTTTGTAACGCAACGGACACTGGTGATAAATTAAAGATATATGGTCCGTTAAATTGCAGATCGTACCTGATCCTCGGGCAGGAGAGCGACGGCGGGGGTCAAGGCGGTCTGACGGTGACGCAGAGGTCGATCGTGATCGAGTGGCGCGAGGAGTGGCACCGGCGGATGCGCCGGTTCCAGAGGAGGGCGAGATCGTGCCATTGAACTACATAATTTTCCCGGCTAACACACACACACACATACACACACACGAGCGACGGGTCAGCCGAGGGAAAATCAGCGACGACCGGCGACGGGCGGGAGAAGAGGGGAAGCGAGGCGAGAAAATGAAAAGAGAACGAGAGGAAAGGAAGAGAAGGTACTAGAATTCGAGACGGTAGGAATAACACTGCCCGATCGAGGAGATTCTGTGCCTGGACGAAGCAGAACGTATTAAATTAGAGACTCATTTTCAATACTCCTATTTGATATTAATATACTCATTTTTTAACATTGAGTATTAGTATTCTCTATCAGTATTTCATATTTTTATTCGACGCTATGCGGTGTCCGATATTAATATACGACTATTCGATATTCCTATTTCACGTTAGTACTCTGAATTAATATCGTATATTAATATCGAAGGCACTTGGCTTAAATCGAGAGACAGAAATCAATCCGAGCGCGACGAAATTAAGGATGTATTGGCTATACAGTCCAATTAATTATCGACGCTGGCTTTTTATATAGAATTTGTAGGCGTTGATATCATTTACAAGAAAGATTCTATGCATTTTTCTTCTAATTTCAGTATTTAACGAGTTAAGTATGATTATATGGCATTTTATTGGCATTGACGAAATCCGACCATTCCACCGTCGAAACAGCGAACTTTTGACAAAAAATTTCGTTTTTCCTCAATAACTCCTAAACCGTTGATCGTACGGGAAAATTGCATACGACCTTTCTTGTAGAGGACAACGAGATCTACAATTTCCATATAAAAGTTTTTCGCTAGCGTCAATAGTTTACGAGTTATTTACGAAAAACGAAAAAACAGTTTTTTCTAAATAACTCGAAAACTATTGACGCTAGCGAATAACTTTTACATGGAAATTGTAGATCTCGTCATCCTCTACAAGAAAGGTCCTATGCAGTTTTCCCGTATCTCCAACGGTTTCGAAGTTATTGGCAAAAAATGAAAATTTCGCAAAATCTGAAGGGGTAACAC